TTACGTAGGTCCGTACGTCGTACGGTAGTTTACGTCGTCGTAGTACGTATTTAAGTTTACGTTACCTACTATATATATATATATATATATATATATATATATATATATATGCACACGATCGAGAGAAAGAATATTGATTTGTATTAAGTTGAAGCCTATTGAGTTGAGTTTGGGCAATATGATTGGCAACCATATTCACTAGATCATGGCTGTGATAAGTTGTGTGGATTTTTCTCCAATGCAGAATGTGGGTATGGTGTTAGGACAGATGTAGTTTTAGTGGCAAAAATGTCCAAGTGGGTTTCGAAGATTAAGGGGCTCTTCTCCTCTCGAACTCTGGCTGGGGTTGATAAGGCTGGTAATCGATACTTCTCTAGAACAGAACAAATTGATGGCATGAGTGAGTCTTCTCCTCTTCTGATTATATTTGCATATTTTGGATTTTTGCCTCTGTGATTTATTGTTTAAGGTTACTTATTCTGTTTCCCTTCTCACTTTGAGAAACTTATTTTCTGCGTATGTCCAAAACAATTAGAGGATTGTTTTAAAGAAATTTCTTAATGAAAAATACGACGAAAATGTTTGTTCACAGAAGCGGAACATATCTACAGAAATGACGAATTGAAGAATTTCACTTTAGGACGCTTGCAAGCATTTGATGTGTCTCTCAGTGCTCAATTGTTCATTTTGTCAGTAGTTATTTAGTAAACTGGATTCAAATCACAATCTCAAAGTTATAACGACAAAACACTTTCAAGGTTGGCTATTATATGAAGATCAAATCGTTGTATGTGTTTAAGGATTTCCATATAACTATACGCCATAGTGAAATTCCTATTCGAAGGTGTCGTTGAAACCAATTACTCACTTCATCTGACGGTCCTAACCATATAAGCTTCCATTTGTCTCCCTATCTTGGACTATGCTTGGCTGCTTCAATTTCTCTTAATTGCATTGGTAACCTATTTTGGATCTTGAGAAATTGTTACAAAGTATCATGGTGGTGCAATTTTTTGAGTTTCCTCTAATTGAACAGTTTATGTAAAATTTTGTAGATAAAATTTTTGTAAATAAAATCTTGTATATAAAATTTTGTAGATTCCCCTGGGGATTATACTCCATTTTCTAAATCATTGAAATTACCAGTGGTTAGAAAAATGACTCTGCCAAGGTACACGGCCCTTGTTCAAGGTGAGTTACTCAACTCCAAGTAACTTGCTTGAGTCGAGCCTGAGTTAAAAAAAATAAACATAAAGACCAAAAAGCAAGTAAGCGGGCATGCTACCCAAGAAGCCATTTGATCACTTTTGACTCAAGACATATTCATATAGTAAACTATACATGCATGAGTGCACAACACACTCGGGTGAAACTTGCCTCCCCTATAGGATGGGGCCGAGTAAGTCGTCATAGTCTGTGCGAGCTCGGCCGTGTCCTGGTACACTGGAAGTCACCATTGCCAATCAAAATACAGAGAAAAAAGAAAGGTTTCATGGTGTTGCTTGCCTTTTACACATCTAAATATCATAATTAAGATGTCTGCATCTAGAAGGCTAAGATTGTAGATTAAAACCTAGCAAAAGAAAATCTTTTGATAATATTGAGAAATCTTTTTAATAATATTGAGAAATCTTTTTAATAATATTGAGAAATCCATTTATAGGTGGAACAAATTTGGATTTGCTGTGAAGATTTGATAAAGCAAGGGTATACCAAATTGCCATCAGACTTCATCTGAAATGTGTAGGATCACTTGTACCTCGTTGGCTGTTTCCAGGAGGTAGAGGGACTTTTGTCATGTAGAACTTGCACCTCTTCTTGCATATCCATTGAGATTTAGCATCCTATTTATTAGATGATTGAATGATAGATTATCCTAGCATGCTACAAAGGAAGAGTAGGTTAGTTTTCCATTAGGAATGGATGGCTGACTATATTTACAAACTGAACTAGAGTGCAAAGTGTCAACAAAGTTGATAGCTGAATATTTGGAGATACCTTGAGCTGAACTGCCTATTATCTTCTCTGATGAACCTTGGGTGGCTAAGGATCAATGAGGTGTAAAATTTAAATGGAGAGATAAGGATGGGACTGAACCTTCGAAGAATAAAACCGTAAAAGGAAAAGAAAACCTCTAAACATGATCGACAAAAAGGAAAAGTTGACCAAAAATCCATGAAAGTTGATAAGAGATACTTAAAAGTCTTTTTTGTATATTACAAGCCTTGTCCTCATTTCACTTCAAGAAGATAATGAGTAATGACACAAATTTAGGAAAACATTGGGCATATTACCTAAATAAGTCTTAAATTATCTCTTGTGATTTGTCTTTTTAATTGATGAGAAAAGAAGTTTCTTATATCATTAACCAATCAAGTTTGGCTCCTTCTGGCCTTAGTTTGAAAAGTGAAAACTATACAAATAGATAAAGTTTTTGCAATTATCATGTGAGTTCCTTAAAAGAACAAGATAACAAGGTTGTGTGGTTTTTTTTTTTTTAATTTTATGTATCCTCTCATAAATGTGGATGCATACAGTCTAGAGTAGAATATGCTCTATGACTGCTATATCTTTGGGATCGATATACTTCAGTGATTCTGAGTGAGGAAAACGGTTATAGAAATTGATGAGCCTGACTTTTTCCTTTGTTGTTAATGGTTATCTCAATAATAGATGTTATGTATATTAGTGAATACATTAGAGAGGAAACCTCGAAAGCGAGGGATTGACAAATAATACCCTTCTCGATGAAAGAGTCAATTGATAAGTCAGTCCTTGCCGATGCACTCACACATGAGAGCCAGGTAGTGTTTGGAAAAGTTGTCACTGTACTTACAGCGTCCTGGTATCTGTCAAGCTTTCCTTATAAGGGGAAACCTTATAGGAGTTCGATGATAGCTCATTGGAAGATGACTTCACTTTTAGGAACTACAGGAAGGCAAATTGGGCTCTTAGTCAATTTTCTACCCATGCTTTTATCTTCTATAACTCACATGGCCTTGTCTATATCTCTCTATGTACTGACATTGTGTTGGGGATCTATAATGCATGGATGAGGCTTTGTACACAGCTAAAACACCAAATTTTGTATTTTACATACTTTTTTGAAGTATCCTTTTTGAACTACCCAGCATGGTTGCGGCACCCATTTCAAAGTATCCATGCATTCTTGGTTAGGACCCGTCTGTCCTTCTCTTTAAATAGGTGCATCTCTTATAATATGTGTTTCTTTGGACACATTTGGAACTATGCATAAGCCTAAGGTAATTGCCCCTTTTTTGATGTATGTAACACATACATGGTCCGTGTAGGCCCATATCAAAGAAAAAAAGAAAAAAAGGAAGAAAAAGAAATGCTAAAATCTTTCTTCCCTTTATCCTACTGAGCTCTAGTGTTCAACATGGCAGTGTACTGGGTTTCTCCATAAATATGAGCTCTCAGGAACTATTATCTGATGGATGGATGTATTTGATTTGGGTCGACCATATATTTGCATGGTAGAAATAGCAGATTTGCATGCCAAAGGTGAAGTAGTTTGCTTTCTTATTTGAAATTGTATATAAGAAATCTTTTCTATTATGGAAACAGGCTGAGGTATTTTTGTATTTACCACTAACCTAGTAGATTTTGCTTTACATCAAATTTGTTATCTCACCAGTGAAAGAAAAGAGAATCGTGATATTTAAAGGCGAAGAGGATCCTACTAGCCTTCCTGGTAACTTTACTTGCTTCATTTATATACTTTCACTGCGTCTCCCATTAGGTACCTGAACAATTTTTTTGTTTTTATATTTATAAACTAAATCATGGTCGGGATTGATTTGTGGTTAGGACTTGTCCATCTGTTCCAGACAGTGTGCATGAGTGCATTTTAAAAAGCCATGTGTTTGATGGTATGATTTTCTATATTGTCTGGAATATAAGGAAGACATTAGAACATCTCTTCTTTTTTTTCTGTTTCGAACTTATGCCTCCAATGGGACTGAAAGTGTCTCTGAAAATATTCAATTGAGGGTAGGCAATCTTTTTTTTTCCTTTTATTTGAATTCCAGTACTCATACTGTTGTTATTTTGTGGCACAAAATAGTTGAATGGATATGTTGGTTGAGTGGGCAAAGGAAGAAGGCTCCAACTCCTGAGGTATAGCAGATATTTGGTAACTAAAATTGCAAGTTATAACTAAATTAAAGTTTTACTAATGGCACAGCGAATTCCTTTTCCCCTTTTTTTTTTTTAATATCGATTGATGGCACTCGATATTTGTGTATGTTGTGTAAAAGCCACTTCAAACAGTGCAACCATGAACCCGAGATTTATATGGAAAAAATGATTTACTGGTCTAGATATTATTCATGAGTACTCACATATTTAATCTGTTGTTAGAATATGTGATGTGGAGAATGTGAAATCTGAAGTGACATTGAGCCTTGACTTCTCTCTAGCTTCTATTGCTTTTCCATGCTTGTTTGTGTTTTCAAACTTATCACCAACTAAATTTGTGGGACAAAATTATAAGAGAAACAGCAAATAAAGAAATTAAACAGTAGAATAGCATTATCTCTTTTGTTAAGTTGTTTGCTATGTTCAAGTTTTTCTCCATGGTATGCTTGCAAACAACTGCTCATGTGCCATCATTGTAATGGATATGTATCATGAGTTGTGGTTTGTCCTCTTTGGCATGAAATCATGTCCAACAAAGGTACATGAATAACTGTAGTAACCATTGGATCCATTGTTTGGCTTCACTGCCACTGAACCAGATGAATGGGGCGGATCATTGACAAAGAGGGATTTTGATGCTTCCAGTCCAATGCAAAACTTGTTGAGCGATAGTTATCAATGACTAGGTGGATTTACACGCATACCCCATATTGGTGGTGCATGTGAGGGTGATTATTTCTCTGTACATTGTGTTGCTAATTTTTTGGTCATTGCAACATCAGAATCTGCACTCTTGAGCAGCATGTTCAAGTTTATTGCAATAATAGCAACAAAGGTTCAAAGAATCAATTTGTAACTTCTTCTACTAACCTTTTTAAAATGTGCATAAAATAATTCCAAGGGAAATAATACTTCACTTGCTTTGGGATATGCTGTATTCTTTTAGAAATTGCGGGGTAGTGTTGTAGTTTCTGATGGCATCAGTATTATATGCTTGTTCAAATATTTCTTCATAGGCTTGCATAAATTGTCATCAAATTAGTATTTATTGGTTAAGTAATTCATTCAAATCAGCATGTTCTGCAATAGGAATTTCCCAGGGTTCTGTTGGTACTGTCAGAATTTAGCTTGGTCTTGACATTATCTGAGTCCTCATTCTTCAAAGGAAACTCATATATCAATTAAGTTCCAGATCTTTTGCAATTTTCTAAGAGTTGGTTTATTAGGTCTTTAGTTTGGAACAAGTGTGTTTGATGCAATTTGTCAGTACCCATGATTCTGAAGTTCCAGCAATACTATTGTAACTCATCAGGAACTCATCAATTCCTTATGATATACTATCTGCACCTTTTCTATAAAGCTACTAGTAAAGAACCTAAGCATTTCACATTATCCGGCTCTAACATCCTTGATTTAAAGAGCATAAATTCTGTTTTATGGGAATATGGTTCGGAAAAGAAGATATAATGCTCATTAAAGGCATTCTATCTGCATTGAATTGTGAGCTTGTTTACTTCCTGTTTGTGAGTTATGCTTTTTAATATCAACTCAGTTTAATTTCTCCCATGTTTCAAGATTGGAGAGAAGTGTTCTAATCAGCAATTGAAGCATGTGTTCATTTGATAATGAATGTTAAATTTGATGTTTACTCTGAAATCTTGAGATAGCATACAAATTTTCCTTTATTCACTGCTAAGGGAGAGAATGAGAACACATTCTGGCCCTTCTTCGGATCCTCATTATGGTCTAAAGCTAAAACTGTTTGTCTTATGTACGATAGTTGTTTCTTCTCCAATTACACCTGAGTTCGTATTTCTTTGAACTCTCTCTCTCTCTCTCTCTCTCTCGATTCATCAGTATGAGTCTAGTGCCAGAGCTTCCTAGGAGGTAACCATCCCGGCGTTGTTGTTGTGTGTGCATACTTAACTCCTATGTTATGATGGGGGCCATTGTACTAATGCTTGTTTAACTGTGCTTTTTTCTCCTTAAAAAGTGTTTGCATGTCTTTCATAGTTTGCAATACATTTTTGGTGCGAATCTGAGAAAATTGCAGTGTAAAAGGTGTTTAATTTCCTCCTCGATGTGCCTATTGTTTCTCATCTCAGATTTTTACGTACTTAGTTTACCTTGTTTTTAGGGAGGTAATAATCCCAGTCTTGATGATTATAGGGAAGTGAGTTATTTTGTTCATTTGTCATCAGGTATCTTTTCTATATGAGTATTGAGAAACAGACAAGTTCTGAGACTAGGCAGAATATTTTTCACCTGGGTACTTCATTGTAATCTCTTTGATTTCAGATGCCTCGAAGGTGCATATGATTTTGGTTATTACCAAATGAGGAGTGGTTTTTCCTTTCTGAAATATGATTCTTATTTTCCATTTGGTAAAATCATGAGAGAAGCTCAAATACTATTAGTGTATATTTCTGTTATCTTTTCTTTTATATATCCTCTATGCTGTTATTCCTCTGGCTATGTTTGGTGGCACCATTCTTTGCATAAATTACTTTGTAATTCCTAGAACAGTGCCTATATATTTATATACGATGTTATATTTGGATGTTTGTATCTGATATCACTATAGCTTGCAACTTTAATGATTATTAATGGAACATCTTTCAAAAATCAATATATCAATTCAAATATCAATATATCAATTCATGGGTTGCTATCTATTTTGCAATTGTTTTGAATGCTATATTTCTTGTGGTATTTCTGGCCTTTCATGCAACATACTTTTATTTGCAGGAAATGATTGAACTAGAGGCAAAACGTGAACGTGTGAAAATGAATGTTGCGAGTATGCGTATCATTTCTCCAATGCTCATTTTCTTGTTTTTATTTTGAGAGTTTTTTTATGCATTTATTGCAGTGAGTAGTGTAAATTATGTAATATCATGTTGTTGTTGAAATACCTTCTCTTGGCCTGATTAGTGAGTTGATCACTGGGATCCCCTACTAAGGGCACTGTCCCACTCTAGGAGCTCATTCGCATGACCCCGAGCAGGTCTGCTGGGTGATCAGGATTCCACATTGTGAGGGATCATGTATCCAGCTCTCGACGGACCAGGATACCTTTGATGTAAGATTTGTGATCCATATCATATGGGATGTACCCCTACATGGTAGGGATCCCTTCTATTAAGAAAAAAAACATAAAAAAAGTAGACACAATTGGGATCACAACCTCTACCCTATATGGGTTCACAACCCATGTCATCTCGCATGTTCCCAACATTTTTTTAGGACACATCACGCTTAAGAAGCAACCGTTTGTTCTCCATGACCCTTGGTATTCTAGACTGTATTGCTACACCATCTCATGATCTCTGTTTGAATATTAAGGTTTAGAGTCCATAAAACGAGTCTCTTTGGACTTTATATTTTTTAAGGCTTACAACAATAGATTGCAACTATATATCATCTCACGAGCTTTATTTGAATTTTCAAAAATTTGGAGTCTATAGAGTTGAGTCTTTGAACTTGAGAGTTTCTAGAGCTTACATCAATATATTGTAATTTTTTTTTTTAAAGATAAAGTTAACATTGTAGTGTTGGGGAGAATGATTACATGGATCTGAGAGTCCGAAGTCAACCACACTGGGTGACTCGGTAAAAAATGCCTTTAGTCTATCTTATACAAAACGGGCTTATAGAAACCGCCCAATTACATTGATTTACATGGAACTTTCAAAAAATTCCCGCAGGGCAGAAATATGCCGATATTCAAGTTGTTTTAGGTTATGTGCAAATGGTCTAGAGAATAAAAGGAGTCGGACCCGGCTTGAGCTTGTCCTCAGCTTCTAGCTCCCTCTTTAGCCAAGAGATCTGCGAAGTCGTTGGACGTCCTCTATATATGCTTCCAGGAGACGTCCATAGCCTTGCAAATGTGATCAATTTCGTAAAAAATTGAGGTTAGGTGCCATGGTGGCGAAGTCGTTCTACTTTCCCAGGAGATGACATTTTGTGAGTCTCCTTGCATTATGAGGTGTGGGCCCCCAAGAATGATTGAAATTTTTCAAGCCTAGTAAGAGGGCCAAGGCTTTTGAGTGATGGGAATCCTTGAGACCAAGGTGCTCAGAAAATGTAAGGAGGATGTTGCTTTGGTGGTCTCTAAAGATCCCCCTAGCTCCTGCCGAGCCAGGATTCCTTAGGGAACAACCATCAAAGTTTAACTTGATGATTCCTACTGGTGGTGGTTGCCAGTTCTTGTTACCAATCACGGTTGGTGATGGACATTTTTCCATAGAGTGAGGAAGAGACTTCCTGGAATGCCCGGAAAGACCTTATGGGCATTGTAATTATATGTCATCCCATGGGCATTGTTTGAATTGTCAAAAACTATGCAAGCTATTTTCATATTTTAGGGCTGTTTCTGTTTGTTTCTCTCTAGGCTTAACATGGGTCTTATTTTCCTTATCATATTTCTCTCTCCCTCATCTTTTCTCTCTTGCTGTATAGCCTCTAGGTTACATGCAGAACTCTTGTATCTGTCTCCTCTCTCCTGTTAATCCCAATTTGAATTTCTCTCATGAAATGCTTCCATCTCTAATTCTTGAAAGGATTATAAAAAGCTATTTCTTCTAATTTTAAAACAACTAAAAAAATTACGTTCTTTAATTTGAAAATGAAATCACTGAAAGATCCATAACAGAACATTGGTGGGTGGTGGCCCAACAAATCATGGATGGTGATTTAATGTTGTCACAACATGTTCTCGGTGGGGGAAGTAAACAATGGCTTATACTCAAAACACGCACAATCCCTCAAAATCTAAACAGTAGAATGGATATATAAATAAATTTCACAAAACCTATAGGAGGTGCATGATTTTATTAAGTTCTGGGCTCATGGTTTATATCTAGTTCTTCGTCTTATCTCCCTCCATATAAAATTTATATTTTATCATTAGTTTTCCTTCACCTTTCTTATCTCCATAGTCAATATTGCATTTAATTTTGGGAGTGTTTTGTGGCATCATCACATTCCTATTGATAGACCTATTAAGATGGACAGTCTGAGAAGGTTATGGGTGCTCATAACTCCATTTGGGAAAATGAAAGACAATTTCCTGATCATAATCACAAGTTGGATTGAATCAGTGAACACTAGGTGAACATGGTGTGTGTGTGTGTGAGAGAGAGATTTCCAAATACACCCTTATAGATGTTCTAATATTTATTTACCAAAAAAATTGTTCAAAAATTTAATAATGTGTAATACTTTACCAAACGTAGTAAGAATCGGCGTATTCCAAAGTTCATAATTTTCAATATCTAGTTTCTAACAATTTGTACAAAATTATAAAAATGCAATGGAAACATAAAATTTGTAAAATCATGTCCATTTAGATTATATATATATATATATATCTTGATGATTTCATTTATATGAAATGCATCCATCAAGTTTTGTGAGAACACTTATAAACAGAGATTTATAAAAATCAATGTCCAATATATATATATATATATATATATATATATCTTGATGATTTCATTTATATGAAATGCATCCATCAAGTTTTGTGAGAACACTTATAAACAGAGATTTATAAATATCATGTCCAATATATATATATATATATATATATATATATCTTGATGATTTCATTTATATGAAATGCATCCATCAAGTTTTGTGAGAACACTTATAAACAGAGATTTATAAAAATCATGT